TATCGTTCTTGGTTTACTTTGGTGACAACACATCCCGCACTCTCGTGGGCTAAGTATAGACAAAATTCCTCCTAGGTCGCCCATCCCCTCAATAATTTAATTGTCATCTCCCAGATTCTGGGAGACACGTGACCAGACCCAACCAGGGTCTCTCTTCGCTCGCTCCAGGAGGCGGTAAGATGAGAGACCCTGGGAACGAGGTTGAGTTTCAAAGTGATTTTCTTTGCTTCGACCGTGCTCCGAATAAAATATAATAGCCAAACTCTTGTAAGTAAACAAAAACAAAGGTGTGGCTGACTAGGGCGAGGGCGCAATCCATTCAGTCAAGATTTCTCGGCTGAAGTTCGAAAATTTCTTGGTGTCGAATGGATCGCAACGGGTCCAAACGGTCTCGTTCGAATTCCATTCCACTCGCAAAACGAGTTCCGCGCTCATTTAAATGGAGGATGTTGGATCACTGTTGCTCGTATTAGAGCTAGATGACGATTTCGACGGTGATATCAATAATATTGTGTGAGCTGATTCATGCTTAGTACGTTAACCAGTATAACGGGTTATTTTTAGCAGATCGTTCCCAGATATATCCCGTATGAGTTCAAAAACCACTTTCGAATGACGAAAAGAACATTCCCAATTCTCTCGGAAAATAAATCGTCTATAAGAGCAGTTAACAACCAAAACATACACTTGGCTTACGAAGCAGCCACAGACCTGTTGTAACTGCACATGGATGTACCTGTAACACCGATAGATCCGCTGTTAACAATCCATAAAAGCTGCATAATAAGTGTTTTCTTCCATGATGTACAAGAAAAATACCGAACAGCGAGGTACTGGGATTGAGAATGGGTCAGAATGGTGAAATGGAACGGTCCATTTCGATCGGATCGGTCCAACCGAGAAAAGTGATCCACCTCGAAAGGTGGACCGATTTTTTCGAAACTTTTCCGGCTCGACCGTACCGATCCATTCAGTTCTAGACCGAAATTTCCTGAAATTTTGGTTGAATGGATCGCGCCCTGAGGCTATGCTCTTTGGAACTGCGAAAAGACTCAATCTTCAGGGAGATGAGCTTAATATCTCTGTCAATGGGGCATGTATCAACAATACGTTTGTTTACGAGTATTTGGGCCTTGACCTAGACCCAAATTTGAACCTTACATCACACTTTGATAGAATTCACAAGAAAGCAGCCGGCAAAGCTAACCTCTTAAGATCAATCCGTTCCTCGATCGACCAAAAATGTGCTGAAACAATCTATAAAACAATGATCTTGCCTATTTTTACATACTGCAGATCACCTGGTCTTGGTTGGTCAGATACCCGAAAAAGTCTGATAAAGAACATTGAACAACGAAGTTTGAAAATTATTTGTGACAGCAATCTAAAACTACCATCAGCAGAGAACTTAATTAAACGCAAAAGCACTCAGTTTGTCTTCGACTGTCTTCAAAATAATGTTTGCACTTCCTTTAAGGGCCCATTAACCGATTTATGCGCGCGCTCGCGCGC